CTCAGAAGAGGATTGTTACTCCTCTGTCCTGTAGAGAATGAACAAATGATGTTTTTGCTAGAGAGGTTCCTTTCAGGCTTTGCTCTTGTGTGAAAGATCACAGTATTTAAAGACAATTGGCAGGGGGGGCATTATGGGTATTTGGCAAGCCAGGTCTCTCACAACTCAACTCTTTCACAACAAAGACAGTCTTGTTGAGAGGTGGTACTCTCACTATTGGAGCAATAGGGATCTTATCAGCCTCCACACAATCTATTTGTGCTGGCTTTCCTCTGGGCTACAAATTCTTGTCTAGTTTTGCTCGCCCATGGCTAAGTTTTGGATGATATTTATGCACTCAGGAGACAGACTGGCACCTACCAGTCTTCCAAAAATAAACCAGATGTTCAATTCTTATTGATTTGTTACCTCCACCTGTAGACACCACTACACCATTCAAAAGTCAGTCCTCTCTACTTCTTTGGTCTTGCAATGCAAAGCTGTGCTGGGTGTTGTGCCCACTCACCTCTGAAAAGGTCCTTCCTCAGGACAACAACCAGCTGCAGGGAATTCAGGATGCACTCTAATAAAGCACAGGCTTCATTATCTAGTTGAGATGAGAGTCTTCTTCAGCATCACTGGTGAATTCATCTGTTCCATCCTGGTGAGTGAGAGGTGGCAGACTTTGCACTGCAGCAGGCAGGTCTGCTGGGCTTACTGGGGAAACTGGGCATAGGTAGGACTGCACAGTATAAACCAACAGGAAACCTCCAGGAAAAGCCTGATCCAGGATTTTTGGAGATCTCAGTTCAGGACTTTCCACCTTCTCATAGTTTGTTTTAGGCAGATGCCTCTCTGCTTCCTGCAGTGCCATCAACAGTCTCAGAACATATGGGACTCTGTCAGAGCAGGAGAACAGTTATCCAGGGCAGTGGTCATGGCCCCAAGGCTGCCAGAGCTCAAGGAGTGTTTGGACAATGCTCTCAGGGAGAGAGTGGGATTTTGGGGTGTCTGTGCAGGGCCAGGGGTTGGACTGGGTGGCCCCTGTGGGTCCCTTCCAACTCAGTGTATTCTGTGAATCTGTCAGCTCATTCCAGAAATGAGACAATTGTCAAATGTGGAGGATTGTAAAGGTCACAGGTGGAAAACATCCACCTTCCTTTGCTTAACAGCTTTGGTAGTGCAGTGCTTGGAAACCAGTGGTGTGCACGCCCAGGATGCACAAGGAGCACTCCCTGAGACCAGTGTGTGGGACACGTCCCCATTTCCAGCTGCTCCCTCACCACAGACCAAAGCCAGGGGTGCCAGCAGGTCCTGCAGCCAGGATCAGTTTTCCTCACTCTTGAAGGACAGGGCTCTACTCCCTGTTTCTCTCTCTGCCCTGGTGGCAAAGCACCAGGACTCTCTTTTGTAGCACGACTGCAGAGTTCCCAGGCTGGGTGGAAGGGAGGGGGCAGAGTTCAGAACAGGGGTCGCATCCACCCTATGAAACTGGCCCCAAGCAGCCTGAGAAGCCTCACCTCATTTGTCAAACCTATTGGAGAGCAGCTATTTCTGACCTTCAGAAACAGAGTTTAGGGTGTCTTTCCTCTTTGAATTAGTATTTCCTGAAATGCTGATTCACTGCAGGAAGAAGCAAGAGTACAGGGAGAACAGGAGGAGAATTCATAACAGCTGGGTCAGAAAAGAGAGATAAAGCTTCAATTAATTTAAAGGCATAATCCTGATTTGCCCTGCAAACTTCCATGTGAGGGGTTATAATTGCAAGACTGAATTGTCTGTTAGCAAATTTGTCTTCTCAAGTACAAAGTTAATTAAATTACTGTAAGTAACACAATAACATATGTCTGAGAGATATTTATGCTCCAGGAAATAAAAATGTTATTCTCCAAGTTATCCTGCTAAAAAATAGCAAAGTAGATATTGAAAGGTTCTACATATTTTGGCTGTACATTTTCATTTTGACAGCATGGCAAGGTACATGACCACACTGCTCTCTCCTCTCTTTTCCTCTGTGACATTGAAATTCCACGAATGGCATCTTGCATCAGCGTTACATCATATTAAGTATAATGCAATATTATGAGTCATTGTTATAAATCATGGGCACAGGCTGCATTAGAAGGCTTTTGCAATTCAAGAGCACATCAAGGTGGATCTTTATTCAGTGTTCCTCTTTGGAGGCAGATGTAGGTGCACTAACTTTGCAATCTCTCTTCATCCTCTGAATCAGGAGCGTTTCAGTTTTCCCCTTCAGCTCTAAGGCTCCCAGGGGATGTGCAGGACGTGCCCAACAGAGCTGCTGCAAATACCAAACAAAGCTCTGAGAACCCAGGAGGTGTTTCTGAAATGGATCACGCAATGATCATAATAGACTGAAGTGTTTAGTATTTTAACCTTCAGGGAAAACTGTAATAATGCTGAAGTGGCACTTGGCTTTTGGAAGGCACGGAGGTCAGGAGTTCTCCCAAGCTATCCTGTAAAGCCCACACTTATGACACTCTGCACTTGCTGCATCTCTGACCTCGGGAGGATATTGCTGCCATGAAACTTCCCTGACCATCTTCCTCTTCTTGCATAGTGTGCCATCACCACTGCAAGAATTAACTATCTCTAGAGCAGACAGCTATTTCTGCCTCATTCCAGACCTTTCTCTTTAACCAGCCTGTTAGCCTGGCTGCCAGAAGCAGCACAGAACACAAGGTCTTGCAGATGAACCACTTGAAAGGTTGGGAGCATCATGTTAGAAAAGAGACAAGGTTAGTAAGAGGCTGCTAAACAATTTAACATTTATAATTCTGAATACAGGCCTGAAATTCTGGAGATTTAATCGTTCTGCCCGAACTAAATCCTAAAGCTCATAAAAACACAGAACTGTTCAGAGAATCACACAGAATCCCAGAATATGCTGGGTTGGAAGGGATCCACAAGGAGCATCCAGTCCAACCCCTGGCCCTGCACAGACCCATCCCCAAGAGTCACCCCCTGTGCCCCAGAGGATCATCCAAACCCTCCTGGAGCTCTGGCAGCCTTGGGGCTGTGCCCACTGCCCTGGGGAGCCTGGGCAGTGCCCAACCAGCCTCTGAGGGAAGAACCTTTTGCTGAGATCCAACCTGAGCCTGCCCTGACTCAGCTCCAGCCATTCCCTGGCTGCTGTCCCTGGTCACAGAGACCTGCAGTGGAGGGGGAGAGCAGCTCGTAGGTTTGCAGCCTCACTGGAACAGCCCTGCCCGAGGAAGGCCACTCTTCCAGAGGAACTCCAGCATTCCAGCAGCTCCTGCTTCCAAAAGAAGATCAGGGATGCTGATCCACTGAACCACACTGCTTGGCAGGCACAGTGCTGCCTGGGTACAGCCGGTGTGCCAGGAGGACACAGGGCCCATGGTGCAGCCAAAGGATCCCTTCCCACGTAGATGTACCTGCTGTGAGCTGGCGCTGAGCAGCCTCTGCCCACAGCCCAGCTGTGATCCCCACCCAGACCATGCAGTGCTGTGCTCAGCTGGCTCTGTCAGAAGGAATGTCTCTGATGGCACACGCACACCAGGATAAAGCTCATCTGTGTCTGGAGCTGCTCAAAATTACCATCGACTCCAGAGAGTCTCAGAGAGCAGCTTCAAGCTGAACAGAACTGGGAGAGGCTGCCCTGTTCTTCCTGGCACCAGCAATCAAGTGATATTATAGTATCAGCAGCACAGTTCCTTGGAGTTCAGGACTGAGCAGTGCCCTTGCAATTGCACTTCACATTTTCCAGTGGCTTTTCTTTCTTTTTTTTTTTTCTTTGCATGGACACAAAAATATTCCTGATTTTTCTATTTAGAAGCTTCAAGTTCTTATTGTTAGGTATGCTCCTAAAATACACAGCTGCTGAATGGCTGCCCTCTTTACTGGCACATACAACACCTTGTGAGATGATCTCAACCGTGGTACATCCCTGATTTACAGCGGCTTGAAGTTGGAAAGCTTTTTTCAGGAATAACTTTCCACGAGTTCCTGTGAGGGATCCCGAGGTGATTAACATACACAGGACTAGTTGTGATGCCCACTTGCTCAACAGCTTGTTCATTTACACCCAGCTCCCCTTGCTACTCCCTCCCTTGGGCCCCCATCGCCAGCAGATGTGTTGAGTGTGTAA